TTGAAGAGCGGGTAAGGGAGTTGAAGGGCAGGTTAGGGAGTTGAAGGGCAGGCTTGGGAGTTGAAGCGCAGGTTAGGGAGTTGAAGGACAGGTTAGGGAGTTGAGGGGCATGCTTGGGAGTTGAAGGTCAGGTTAGGGAGTTGAAGGGCAGGTTAGGGAGTTCAAGGGTGGGTTAGGGAGTTGAAGGGCGGGTTAGGGAGTTGAAGGTCAGGTTAGGGAGTTGAAGGTCATGTTAGGGAGTTGAAGGTCAGGTTAGGGATTCGAAGGGCAGGTAAGAGAGTTGAAGGGCAGGTTAGTGAGTTGAAGGGCAGGTTAGGGAGTTGAAGGGCAGGTTAGGGAGTTGAAGGGCGGGTTAGGGAGTTGAAGGGCAGGTTAGGGAGTTGAAGGGCAGGTTAGAGAGTTGAAGGGCAGGTTAGTGAGTTGAAGGGCAGGTTAGGGAGTTGAAGGGCAGGTTAGGGAGTTGAGGGGCAGGTTAGGGAGTTAAATGGCAGGTTAGGGAGTTGAAGGTCGGGTTAGGGAATTGAAGGGCGGGTTAGGGAGTTGAAGGGCAGGTTAGGGAGTTGAAGGGCAGGTTAGGGAGTTGAAGGTCAGGTTAGGGAGTTGAAGGGCAGTTTAGGGAGTTGAAGATCAGGTTAGGGAGTTGAAGGGCGGGTGAGGGAGTTGAAGGGCAGGTTAGGGAGTTGAAGGGCAGGCTTGGGAGTTGAAAGGCAGGTTAGGGAGTTGAAGGGCAGGTTAGGGAGTTGAAGGGCAGGTTAGGGAGTTGAAGGGCGGGTTAGGGAGTTGAAGGGCAGGTTAGGGAGTTGAAGGGCAGGTTAGAGAGTTGAAGGGCAGGTTAGTGAGTTGAAGGGCAGGTTAGGGAGTTGAAGGGCAGGTTAGGGAGTTGAGGGGCAGGTTAGGGAGTTAAATGGCAGGTTAGGGAGTTGAAGGTCGGGTTAGGGAATTGAAGGGCGGGTTAGGGAGTTGAAGGGCAGGTTAGGGAGTTGAAGGTCAGGTTAGGGAGTTGAAGGTCAGGTTAGGGAGTTGAAGGGCAGTTTAGGGAGTTGAAGATCAGGTTAGGGAGTTGAAGGGCGGGTGAGGGAGTTGAAGGGCAGGTTAGGGAGTTGAAGGGCAGGCTTGGGAGTTGAAAGGCAGGTTAGGGAGTTGAAGGGCAGGTTAGGGAGTTAAGGGGCATGCTTGGGAGTTGAAGGTCAGGTTAGGGAATTGAAGGGCAGGTTAGGGAGTTCAAGGGTGGGTTAGGGAGTTGAAGGGCGGGTTTGGGAGTTGAAGGGCAGGTTAGGGAGTTGAAGGGTGGGTTAGGGAGTTGAAGGGCGGGTTAGGGAGTTGAAGGGCGGGTTAGGGAGTTGAAGGGCAGGTTAGGGAGATGAAGGGCAGGTTAGGGAGTTGAAGGTCAGGTTAGGGAGTTGAAGGGCAGGTTAGGGAGTTGAAGGGCGGGTTAGGGAGTTGAAGGGCAGGTTAGGGAGTTGAAGGGCGGGTTAGGGAGTTGAAGGGCAGGTTAGGGAGATGAAGGGCAGGTTAGGGAGTTGAAGGTCAGGTTAGGGAGTTGAAGGGCAGGTTAGGGAGTTGAAGGGCGGGTTAGGGAGTTGAAGGGCAGGTTAGGGAGTTGAAGGGCAGGTTAGAGAGTTGAAGGGCAGGTTAGTGAGTTGAAGGGCAGGTTAGGGAGTTGAAGGGCAGGTTAGGGAGTTGAGGGGCAGGTTAGGGAGTTGAAGGGCAGGTTAGGGAGTTGAAGGGCAGGTTAGGGAGTTGAAGGGCAGGTTAGGGAGTTGAAGGGCGGGTTAGGGAGTTGAAGGGCGGGTTAGGGAGTTGAAGGGCAGGTTAGGGAGTTGAAGGGCAGGTTAGGGAGTTGAAGGGCGGGTTAGGGAGTTGAAGGGCAGGTTAGGGAGTTGAAGGGCAGGTTAGGGAGTTGAAGGGCAGGTTAGGGAGTTGATGGGTGGGTTACGGAGTTGAAGGGCGGGTTAGGGAGTTGAAGGGCGGGTTAGGGAGTTGAAGGGCGGGTTAGGGAGTTGAAGGGTGGGTTAGGGAGTTGAAGGGCAGATTAGGGAATTGAAGGGCGGGTTAGGGAGTTGAAGGGCAGGTTAGGGAGGTGAAGGGCAGGTTAGGGAGTTTAAGGGCAGGTTAGGGAGTTGAAGGTCAGGTTAGGGAGTTGAAGGTCAGGTTAGGGAGTTGAAGGTCAGGTTAGGGAGTTGAAGGGCAGTTTGGGGAGTTGAAGATCAGGTTAGGGAGTTGAAGAGCGGGTAAGGGAGTTGAAGGGCAGGTTAGGGAGTTGAAGGGCAGGCTTGGGAGTTGAAGCGCAGGTTAGGGAGTTGAAGGGCAGGTTAGGGAGTTGAGGGGCATGCTTGGGAGTTGAAGGTCAGGTTAGGGAGTTGAAGGGCAGGTTAGGGAGTTCAAGGGTGGGTTAGGGAGTTGAAGGGCGGGTTAGGGAGTTGAAGGTCAGGTTAGGGAGTTGAAGGTCATGTTAGGGAGTTGAAGGTCAGGTTAGGGATTCGAAGGGCAGGTAAGAGAGTTGAAGGGCAGGTTAGTGAGTTGAAGGGCAGGTTAGGGAGTTGAAGGGCAGGTTAGGGAGTTGAAGGGCGGGTTAGGGAGTTGAAGGGCAGGTTAGGGAGTTGAAGGGCAGGTTAGAGAGTTGAAGGGCAGGTTAGTGAGTTGAAGGGCAGGTTAGGGAGTTGAAGGGCAGGTTAGGGAGTTGAGGGGCAGGTTAGGGAGTTAAATGGCAGGTTAGGGAGTTGAAGGTCGGGTTAGGGAATTGAAGGGCAGATTAGGGAGTTGAAGGGCAAGTTAGGGAGTTGAAGGGCAGATTAGGGAATTGAAGGGCGGGTTAGGGAGTTGAAGGGCAGGTTAGGGAGTTGAAGGGCAGGTTAGGGAGTTTAAGGGCAGGTTAGGGAGTTGAAGGTCAGGTTAGAGAGTTGAAGGTCAGGTTAGGGAGTTGAAGGGCAGTTTAGGGAGTTGAAGATCAGGTTAGGGAGTTGAAGGGCGGGTGAGGGAGTTGAAGGGCAGGTTAGGGAGTTGAAGGGCAGGCTTGGGAGTTGAAAGGCAGGTTAGGGAGTTGAAGGGCAGGTTAGGGAGTTGAGGGGCATGCTTGGGAGTTGAAGGTCAGGTTAGGGAATTGAAGGGCAGGTTAGGGAGTTCAAGGGTGGGTTAGGGAGTTGAAGGGCGGGTTTGGGAGTTGAAGGGCAGGTTAGGGAGTTGAAGGGTGGGTTAGGGAGTTGAAGGGCGGGTTAGGGAGTTGAAGGGCGGGTTAGGGAGTTGAAGGGCAGGTTAGGGAGATGAAGGGCAGGTTAGGGAGTTGAAGGTCAGGTTAGGGAGTTGAAGGGCAGGTTAGGGAGTTGAAGGGCGGGTTAGGGAGTTGAAGGGCAGGTTAGGGAGTTGAAGGGCGGGTTTGGGAGTTGAAGGGCAGGTTAGGGAGATGAAGGGCAGGTTAGGGAGTTGAAGGTCAGGTTAGGGAGTTGAAGGGCAGGTTAGGGAGTTGAAGGGCGGGTTAGGGAGTTGAAGGGCAGGTTAGGGAGTTGAAGGGCAGGTTAGAGAGTTGAAGGGCAGGTTAGTGAGTTGAAGGGCAGGTTAGGGAGTTGAAGGGCAGGTTAGGGAGTTGAGGGGCAGGTTAGGGAGTTGAAGGGCAGGTTAGGGAGTTGAAGGGCAGGTTAGGGAGTTGAAGGGCAGGTTAGGGAGTTGAAGGGCGGGTTAGGGAGTTGAAGGGCGGGTTAGGGAGTTGAAGGGCAGGTTAGGGAGTTGAAGGGCAGGTTAGGGAGTTGAAGGGCGGGTTAGGGAGTTGAAGGGCGGGTTAGGGAGTTGAAGGGCAGGTTAGGGAGTTGAAGGGCAGGTTAGGGAGTTGATGGGTGGGTTACGGAGTTGAAGGGCGGGTTAGGGAGTTGAAGGGCGGGTTAGGGAGTTGAAGGGCGGGTTAGGGAGTTGAAGGGTGGGTTAGGGAGTTGAAGGGCAGGTTAGGGAGTTGAAGGGTGGGTTAGGGAGTTGAAGGGCAGGTTAGGGAGTTGAAGGGCAGGTTAGGGAGTTGAAGGGCAGGTTAGGGAGTTGAAGGGCAGGTAAGAGGCAGTTAAGCCAGGAGAAGAGGAGAGGCTAGGTTGTGAGAGCGGGACGTGAAATTGTAGAATAATAGAAGTGTCACAGGGACAGCAGACACGCTACCGATTGTTCCAAGTATGGAAGTTTATTTCATTAAATATTTTAGCCATTTGTGTTCAAACGTACACTACTAACTTAGTCTTACTAGTTATATATATGCATGTCGTATAACACTTTAGGCGAGGTTACACTTGGATATGAAACGATCTCGCAGACACAGAAGCACTCCGCTCGTCGTGAACTCCATGAAACTCACGGGCACGACATCTGGGTGCTGTGTGGAGTGTGCGCTCCACTGAATGAGTCGTGTGTGTTGGGTTGTGACATTCATTGTATACTGGGAAGTGGCAGTGTAGTGGTTAGTGCGCTGCGCTACGAGCCCGACAAACCAATGTCGATTCCCGCTCACGGCCACCAACAGCAGTGACGATTGTATGAACCGGTCCTGGGGGCCGTCCATAAATGACGTCACGCACCTAGGAGGGGGGGGGGGTCAGACATTTGTGACGATGTGTGACGAGGGGGGAGGGGTTTGAGAAATTTGACGTCACATCAAAACTTTAAATATAGACAATACGTTCTACTTAATTAAATACTTTTTAATAAATGTTTTCTCCTACAACATATGTCATTTTACAAACGCGAGGATAAAACCACAATTAGACCCACGGCAAATCTCCCCACCTCATCACCGTCCCCATCCTTCTATCAACCCAATCATAACCATCACCTCCATCCCCTCCCCCATCACCCCCATCCCCTCCCCCATCACCCCCCATCCTCACATCACCCCGATCCCCTTCACACCGCCGCCACCTCTTCGCCAGTCCCCAGGGCTGCCATTCATGCCAAGTGGTTGGCCTTGAACCGGTCCTAGGCTCCCTCTAGGTCGACTCGGCCTCAAACAAGTACGGTACAGTACCTGGTGCGGTGTGTAAACAACAACAACAACATCAGCAGCAGCAGCAACAGGAGCAGCAGCGAGGAGGAAAAGGCGGCCCGGGGCGTGGAGTGTAATCCGCAGTGCAAGGGACTCGTGGCGTTACCGATCGGTACCCCGCATACAACGTGGCCGACTTCGCATTCAGAAGGTGTGCGGTGGGTGTGTGTGCGGGGTGTGGGGGGGTGTGTGTGTGGGGTGTGTGTGTGGGGTGTGTGTGTGGGGTGTGTGTGCGGGGTGTGGGGGGGGGGGTGTGGGGGGGGGGTGTGTGTGGGGTGTGTGTGCGGGGTGTGGCGGGGGGTGTGTGTGGGGTGTGTGTGCGGGGTGTGTGTGCGGTGTGTGGGGGGTGTGCGGTGTGTGTGGGGGGGGTGTGCGGGGTGTGTGTGCGGTGTGTGGGGGGGGTGTGTGGGGGGGGGTGTGTGTGTGGGGGGGGTGTGTGGGGGGGGGTGTGGGGGGGGTGTGTGGGGGGGGGGTGTGTGGGGGGGGGTGTGTGGGGGGGGTGTGTGTGGGGGGGGTGTGTGGGGGGGGGTGTGTGGGGGGGGGTGTGTGGGGGGGGGTGTGTGGGGGGGGGTGTGTGGGGGGGGGTGTGTGGGGGGGTGTGTGGGGGGGTGTGTGGGGGGGGGGTGTGTGGGGGGGTGTGTGGGGGGGTGTGTGGGGGGGGTGTGTGGGGGGGGTGTGGTGGTCGCGGGTTGCTGAGGAGATGGAGTCTGCCTCAGTGGCCCGCAATCACAAATCACTATTTAACTCCATCAAAAAAGTAACCTGCAGCGCCACACCGATTACCATCATTAGGGGAAAAAACGGGGATCCAATCTCCGACCCCCAGGAACAGGTTTGCAGATTTTCTGAGCATTTCTGTGAGGTCCTGGGGGAGGGGAAATCCCTCAGCCAGGAAAACATCATGGCACAAAGTGGGGATGACCCTGCTGAGGCTGCGGTGCCTCAAATATTGGAAGAAGTCACCCCCTGTGAGTGGCTTGCTGAGGTGCCATCCTGTGAGGAAGTACTGAAGGCGATCCGGAGTCTGAGACCAGGAAAGGCACCGGGCAGAGATGATCTCCCAATTGAAATGCTGAGGGAGGGTGGCGTTTGTGCACAGACTGCCCGATATGACAGCATAACAACAGTCTGGACCACTGGACGGGTTCCGCAGGATTGGAAGGATGCCCTGGTGGTCCCCCTCTTTAAGAAAAGGGGCCGCAACAGACTGTAACAACTACAGGGGCATCTCACTCCTCAGTGTGCCGGGAAAGGTCCTGGCAAGGATTATTTTAATAGCCTTGCTAGGCACGCTGAGGAGAGGCTTGCGAAGCCCCAAAGCGGTTTCAGGAAAGGGCGGTCCTGCACAGATGCCAGGGGCGGTTTCTTCATTAGGGCGATTGGGCGACGCACCACCAATGTCATTCAACCACAGAGTCACGCTAGCCGTCACTGCAGCCTCTGGATATAGTCCAATCAGCGTCATGTCACGTTCTGTGGAGTACCGCCTCTTTTTGGGCGATTTCACTCCGGCTGAGAATCGCCCCGAGTGGCCCCATAGACTTACATTGAAATATGTTTTTTTTCGAACGGGGGCGCTCCAATGCATTCTCTATGGCTTCCGGGAGGGCAAGCCCTAACGTGCTTACGTCATCATACGTGCTAACGTCATCATACGTGCTTACGTCATCATACGTAAGCACGTTTCATCCAACAATATAATTTATCGCCACCTAGTGGAATCTTCTTCTTGGTTCTTTCGGTAAAGTCACGTAGAAGGGAAGTAATAAAATAATAAAAATAAAACATAATAAAATTATTCTCACGACGTTTCGGCCACAACGCAAGTTATTCTCACGACGTTTCGGCCACAACGTTCCACTCACTGACATGGTGCAGTGTGCAGAGTAATGTATGGTGTCGTAATTGTATAGTAAATATATAGCAGTGTGATACACATTAGGGTGGGTAGAATAATACATAGTGTTATATTAAAATGGATAAGGCAGCAACTGCAGCAGCAGCAGCAACTGCAGCAGCAGCAACTGCAGCAGCAGCAGCAACTGCAGCAGCAGCAACTGCAGCAGCAGCAGCAACTGCAGCAGCAGCAGCAGCAACTGCAGCAGCAGCAGCAACTGCAGCTCCCTTTGATGCTGTTACTCCTGCATAATGCACATGCATATGCAGTACTAATCACATTCCTGCATTTCCCATAAATATGCTAAATTCTTCTTGATATGCAAATTCCTTTGTCAAGGCGCCCAGCTTATATATATGCTCCAAGCTCGTGTGCTGTTTCATTCAGACTCTGTCGCCTCGACGGACCTGGTTTTCACCTGAGGACGGCTGCTTGCGTTGTGGCCGAAACGTCGTGAGAATAATTTTATTATGTTTTATTTTTATTATTTTATTACTTCCCTTCTACGTGACTTTACCGAAAGAACCAAGAAGATGAATCCCTGCAGTCACGAAAGTTTTAAATCAAAATCTAGTGGAATCTTTAATAAAATAAACTTGAGTGGTTTGTTTTAATAGTGAGTATAGAAACAAACAAGATGTATTGTAAGAGTCACTTTATTTTTCATTAATATTAAAGAAGTGAAGTTGCCTTTACATGCTTAAGCTGTTAATTTATCCATTGCATGGGTGGACCTTATCCTTATCAATCATCCAGACATTTACCCCCCTGAGAGATTTTGCAGGAGCCGCCACTGACAGATGCCATATTTTCTGTCCGTCTGCTACAGCAGAGGTGTAGGGAATTCCAACAAGACCTCCATCTCTGCTTTATTGACCTGGCCAAGGCCTATGATACCATCAGTAGGCCTGGGCTCTAGGTTGTTCTTGGTGCTTTCGAAGTCCCTGAATCTCTGCTCACAATCATTAAGGACCTTCATGATGGTGAGCGGGCCCGGGTAAAACTACGTGGCCGGGAGTCAGAGCCATTCCCTGTACACCTTGGGGTGCGACAGGGATGTCCTCTGGCTCCCACATTATTTAACATCTATTTTGACCACGTAGTTCGTGAAGCCTTCAATAGTTGTACCGAGGTAATTTCCATTTGGTACAGATATAATGGGAGGCTGATCGATGCCCGGGTGCGATCAAGGGATGGCTCCCTATTGGTCAACCACGTTATGTATGCCGATGATTTGGTAATAGCTGCTCATTCAGAGGAGGAGTTGGAGACGCTGCTGCTGAGACTGGAGCGTGCCACTAAGAGGTTGGGCCTTACCATCAGCCCAACCAAAACTAAGCACCTGCCTGGGTATTTTGTACCATCGGACACTCCACCCACACAACTCCCAATCGGTGATGGGGCAGTTGTGGAGAGAGTGGAGAGTTTCCCATACCTGGGCAGTGTGCTTATGACCGGCTCCAGTTTAACAGCAGAGGTCTCACTCCGAATCAGTCGAGCGGCAATATCTTTTCATCGGTTGCATAACGCTGTGTGGAAGCTACATGGTCTGTCGCTCCGCACGAAGCTTCAGGTCTTCTCGGCCACAGTCATTCCCTCCTATCTCTACGCTTGCGAAACGCGGACCCCCCTAATGGAGCATCTTCGCCGGTTAGAAACATTTAGGCTGGCCTGCCTACGATCCATCCTGGGTTTAACCAGGCTGGATTGTGTGAGGAGCTCATAAATCCTTGAAAGATCTGGGCAAAGTCCCATCGGTGAGCTCCTCCGGCAGGCAAGGCTGCATTGGCTGGGTCATGTAGCCTGCATGCCCAGCCACCGTATGTCTAAATAGCTTTTGTTCGGCCGGATCGAGGGGGCTAAACGGGCGCGGCACGGGCTAGAGAAGAGATGGAGTGATGTGGTACAGGAGGACGTGGAGCTGAGTGGACTTGCCGATGACTGGTACCAGCGGTGTCAAGATCGGCCTCTGTGGAGGAGGCTCGTGAAGGACGCTACTGGGCAGTTGGAGGCAGTCGCCTTCCAACAACGGAGGGCAGAGGAGCGACGCTCACAACAACAAGCGGCGCGCCGGGTGGCTGAAGCACAGCAAGTTGGCACAGTAGGGGGCACAGGTGGTGCATCAGCCAGTCATCTCGGTCATCTCAGTCAGTCGACCCGTGACACCTGGGTCTACCCCGTGACCTCCTGCCAGCGGGCGTTCGACACTTCACGTGGACTCAAGGTGCACATGGCCTGGCACAAGCGTCGTGATGACATCACCGCCACTTAGTGGCGAATGGCGGTTGTTGTTGTGTGTGGGGGGGGGGGGGGTGTGTGGGGGGTGTGTGGATTATGTGTACGGTGTGTGTGTGGGGTGTGTGTGTGGGGTATGTAACTCGAACAAAGTCGTCGGGCGAGCCCAAAAGGCCCAACAAGTCTAACGGGCAGCAACAAATAGCACCCCCATAGATGATGTTAAAAAGGGAGCAGTTGACGCGTATCGAAATAAGGTGTTGCTGCTGCTGCTCTCTAAAGCGTTGGGCAGGAGCCACAGCAGAATCGTGACGTTTATAACAACATCATCATCCATGGTCAATCTACTGCTGGATGCAGGCCTCCCCAAGTGGCTAGCGAAACGTCTCGCGACCCTGTGATATTAACGATCCGCCCTGCACCTGCTCCCATTTCATCGCTCTATCTCCTCTCCTTGGCGAACGCGTCCCATTATGTTGTCTGCCACTCCAGAATCAGAATCGTTGCTTAGACTGCAGGAGGAATCTGATGAGCGATGAAGCTCTTTTTTCACAGATATGCAGAAGGGACGGGTTGGTGGGTTACAAAAAAATTATAGAAGTGCAAAGTAGGGAAAAGGTAAGCAAGTCACGAAACACATAGATATAAATAAAGTGTATAACTACAAGTTGCACAAGTACATCAATTCCTGCCAATTTTTCTACACCAAATGCAAGCTTGGAGCAAGGCAGCAAAACAACAACAGTCCCAGACCACACGAAGACAACACACGTTCCCTCGAATAAATTGCACGTTGAAATGTAACAATCGATGGTACACGGGTAAGGATCAAAGTTACAGAATATATTTGCAAATGTGGCTCCAATGTTCTGCTTCATCAATCGATCACTTATGGAGATGACATCTCCCTGCTCCATGGTGGCATTAACCCTCATGTGATCACTCATTCACGTGCCCATTCATGTTGTCTCTCAATGTAAGTAGACTCGAGTGGATTACCATAGTACAGGGGTCAGCAA